TTTTTTGTCATGACCACCTAGTGAAGAGCGGTGGATGTCGCCATTTAGTTTGATAAGGTCGAACACTTTTTGTAATGAAATAGACATTCACAAGTAAAGAAAAACCTTCGTTTACACGCCAGAAACACCCTTTGTATGCGAACGTGACTATTGTGTGAAGCAGACATTTTTATTGGGTAGTGACTTTTCGGCAAGGGGGAAAAAGCGGACTCCTTTGGACTCCCATGGATTCCTATGGACTTCTATGGACTCCTGAAGTCCAGGAGTCCAAGAGCTCCTGTAAAGCTCAACATCAACCAGTTTCCATATACAACATCTCATTGAACATCTAATTCGTATATAAAGAGCCGATCAACGACACATCTCATATTTCTCAGGTCGACGTGAATGCACGCTTTGTTAAACATACATTACTTGTGATCTTGAATAATAAATAGATATATATAAAAGATTTCGAGTATAAAAGGAACAATAAAGAAAAGATAGAAATATCACAGTTAAATTGCAATATTCGACTAGGAGTAAATAAATCTTAAATATAAATAATGAAAAGACAATTACTTGGTTAAAAACTTCATAATAATACAATAAAATACAAAAAAATAGAAACGATAAAACTAATGGTAAACAAATGATAAAATAAATAATAATTATAGTTTTTTTCGCTTTGATGATCGCGCTGGTATACTTGATGCTGGTGCAGAACGTTTAGAATTGTTTTTCGTTGGTGCTGTTGTTGATATACTACTTGTGGATGGAGATGGTGCAACTATAGGATTCGTTATTATTTGAACTAATGGTTGTGATTGTACTGGTGATGTCGATGATGATGATATTTGAACATTAGTTCTTTTCTGTTTGTTATTTTTCTTTACAAATTCTTTCATTAATGAACAATTCAATTTTTTTATATGTTTGTAAAAATTTGACAATTGAAATTTATTATCCTTTTTCGTTAATGAGAAATTTGAGCCACATTTACATGTAATTGCTGCTTCTAAAATATTATGGTTATCATGTAATTTTAATGTAAAATCTTCTCCACCTCTTAATTGAAAATCATCTAAACCAGCGTTTTCTTTATTATCTAAACACCACTATTTAATTAATTTTAATATAAAATCTTTATGTTTATGTATTGTCATTGTTGGTGGTGGTAATGGAGGAACTGAATTAGTTGAAACTGGTGCTATGGTTATAATCGATGATGATGGTGGTGGAGTGGAATTACTAACAGCTGTTGTTATGGTTGTTTGTTGTTTTGATTTTAATTTTGTCTCTTTCATTACTTCATTTTTTTTCAAAAATAGTTCTTTTAAATATTTAATATTTTCTCTAATACCAGCTTTTAAAAGAAATGAGCCATCAGCTAATGTAAATGATATTTTCTTTTTTAAATCAATTAAATCCGGACAATCGACATCCATAATCCCAAATACATCATCAGTCAATAATAAAGACTGAGCATTTACTATTTGTTGCACTTCTAATAATTCAGCTTCGGTCTCTCCACAAATATTTTTGACAAAATCATAAAATTTATTATCATTAAACGTTAACATATCTGCTGGTAAGTGACTTGTATTAATGAAGAGTGTAGACATGATTCTTTTGTATAAGTTAATTTTAGTCAAGCTATTAATCAAATGAGAAGACGTTAGACAAACAATAATAAATCGAAGAAAGAGAAAATCAAAGCGGAAAGAAGGTAAAAAAGAAAACAGACTTACGCAATTCTCTTTTGTAGAACGATATTGGTTTTTTTAATCTTCGTGTACTCAGAGGAGCACGGTAAAGGAAATAACGCGAAAGAGAAGTGTTACTTCTCTTTATTAAATACGGAATAAATATAATGATAATATGGAAGAATAATTTGGCTTGGTTAAATAATGCAAAACGAATTGTTTTTTTGTGATTTTTGGTTTAGTTAATATAAAAATATATGATTTAAAAATACGACGACAGATTTTAAACAAAAAATGACAAATGAAAGAACAGAATGCACGAGAATTTAAATTCGAATTCTTCTTCTTCAGTAAATGTTCGTGTGCAGAGAATGATGTTTCATGTACTAGAAGTGGCTGTTTATATAGGATTTGATGTGTACGGACGAAAAAAAGGAGAGAAGAGAGAGAACAATTATTTTGAAAGGGAGAGTGAAATGGTTTTTGTTCACGTTCAAAGAAAGTGAAACATTTTTCTTGAAATGGTGATTGTGGTCAAAGAGAGAGTGAAATTTTAGGCCGAAATTTTTGTAAAAGGCTGGGTGAATTTTATTTTGGAGAGTGATGAAAGAGAGGAGAGAAAATCATTCTTTGTATTTGATCAGTATATATATGTCCGAATACAATTCACTTTTTCTCAAGCAAGTGCATCCGAATAGTACATCGTACAGTGCAAGCGGACAATCATAAAATCACCGGTAAGTTGCTTCTTGGAAATGTTTTTAGTTGCATTTGAAGTTTGGAGCATTTTTCATAGGGGGTTCTGTTTTGATGACGCAATATTTCTCGCACGGTCGTCTATATATTGCGTAGTCAATGACAGATACCCATATACACATTTCACATAGTCATATATGCAGGGGCAGGTATGCATATATCACGTAGTCATAAGTATAAAGATTTTCTACTGTTAATATCTATTTGACTTATTTTAGATTTCTATTCAAACTTTATTTGTTATGAGCAACAATAACGACATTTATGATGTATCTCTAGTACCAGACAATGTGTTTACATTGGATGGTAATGATTTTTATCAATTAGTACAATCACTAGCCGGTGAAACTGTTTGTGAGATTCTCAGAATACAATCAATAAATTCCACAAGATCATTTTTGAATACTGACGATGTGTTAGAAATTTTTAAATATGATTCGCCTGATTTAATTGGTATTAAAAATAAATCATGTCACAAAATGACGAATGGTCATTATATTATTAAAGCTGGAATTAAAAGCAGTTTAGCATATTTAACAAAATTATTAGAAATAAAACAAGATCAGCAACAATCCATCATGAATAATGACAATAATAATAGTAATGAACAAACATTGCCATATGAAATTATAAATAATAATTCAATGTTAAGATCATTATTTTCTTGGTACGAACATTTCCAGCATCTCACGTTTCGTCTTACGAGGGAACCTCCCGAGGTGACACCCTCCGTTTCTAATGAGTTATACCTCAATCGATAGAGTATATCGAGCTAATAAAAAGCCTAAAAGAATTCGTGCCCCTTACTTCTGAAGACCCGGTTTTCTGGAAAACCAGTTTTTCAGAAACTCTAAAAAATAACCAAAACCTTTTCTTAGTGAAACATAATTGTAGCCCGCACATTTCTGATTAAAATGAGACATCTCCCAGCTCTACACGACCTTTCTTTGCAAAGTTATAGAATTTACAAGAAGAATTTTACATATAGTTATAGAATTTACATATGTCAACAGTTTTAAAACAACATGGTATATTTCAATTAGAACAATTAAGTAAATATGTATTTCATGAATTAAGTTCCACATCGAAAATGTTTGATAATTCAACAACAAGTAATACTAGTGATGATTCTGATTCTTATTCAGAACGTGAACCTGAATTAGGTGATGCTGATAATAATAACAACGACAGTGACGAAGATAGTGAATGTCAATCCGATGATAATGGAAGTATCAATACAGCAAAAACAAACTTTTCTGGTATACAAATTAAAGACAAGATTAACACTGAATTAAAAAATTCGTATTTTAAAATAAAAATTAATAACACTGATAAATATTTACATAAACAGTCAGCAATCTGGCTGTTAACAGACAAAAATAATCGTATATCAACCGATAGATTATCACGAGTAATTGAAACGAGCAAAAAAGAACAAAAACACTTCATCTTGTTTTCCTGTTTTCTGTTTTTGTGTACAAATAAATAGTGTGCTATACATTGTCAGCTCTCATTTTTATGGTACAAATAAGAATTAGCGCAATCCAAATATTAGACAACAGTCTCCCAAGAACTTGGACTTCTTTGGACTCCTGTGGACTCCTTGGACTCCTGTGGACTCCATGAGTCCGCTTTTCCCCCCTTGCTTTTCGGACATCCTGTAAGTTTTCCTATTTTGAAATAGTGATATGAAACTTGGTCAAAACTAGTTGGTATTTTGCTTATATTTACCCAGAATAATGCTCTCTTCGACATTAGTCATTATCTTTTTTCTTCATAATTAGCTTTCGTCGCATATCATCCATCTCTCAATGTCGGTCAATATGACTGCTGTTCAACTGTACGTATAAGAGACTTTTGGATTTAAATATTTATTGCCCATTATGTATACTGAGTATCACTATAAGCTCTTTTCTTTCCATCATCACGTGCCTCTTACTGCTGTAATCATTCAATGATATCACTAGTAGTTATAAAAGAAAAACATTTACTTCTTTCATTGTGTCTTTGGGCAATGAACAAAAACAAAAAACGGCTTGTATATAGACAGACGTTGTTGGTACAGTTAACAACCGTTCATTCATTGAAATGACTCGATTGTCTTTATAAAATTTGATTACTTATGATTATCAGGCAATCAATACTCAAGTGGAAAAAACTGTTGAACAGGAGCGGCGAAATGAATTTCGATTTGGGAAGAGCGCTGAAATAGGTGTTTAGGTTTCAGAAGAGGATCAGTCAATTTTTAGTAGACTCGTACAAGGACAAAAAGATTTTCCTTGTAGGTACTACAAACGTTGGAGGATAAATATTGTATTTATTTGGGATACGTGAGTAGTCACTTGATACCAAAAACAACATTTTCTTTTATTTCCACCGACGTAGCGTAGCGTTTTCGAAAATCAGTTTGAACGTGCAACAATGTTTTTTCGATACTATACGATAAAGTTTTTGACAATATTCGAATGTAACCATTGCTCAGGCCAGTCACTGTGAACATATCAACATTTTATCGAATCGAAAGACTAATTCTCAAAAAAAGTTCTCATTGCTTAATGTATATTTTTCTTTTGTGTTTTGTTTAAAATTAGCTTCAGCAATGTCTGTTACTCTTCGGTATCTTCTTTGTCTCAATCATTACAACTGCACATTCAGCGTCGTAGTCTTAGTCGTAAACATTCTTCATTGTACGTTTTTGGAGAAAATAGATTCATTTCGTAGAGTCTGTGGAACTCGATCAAAAGATCTCATTAAGAGGTCGTCATTCTGTTCATATCTATGAGAGGCGAGGAATAAATAAGCTTTAGTTCTACTTTCAGCAATGATGATGATTTTCGGCTTGATTTGAACGTCCTGTTTATAGGATAATTCAGAGAAGTAGTTTATTTTTCAAACAGCTCATACATAGACATAGCTGTCAGTTGATACAGTGAAGGTCTAGAAAATATTTTCGCTCAAAAACTTTATCGCTACACCGTTTTCGACAGTTGTAAATCAAAAAATGAACAGAAAGACGGTTAAATGAGTAATTTTCAACTGATTTTCTGATTCCAGAACTATTTTTATAAGCAAGAGGTTGAGATAGCAAGAACAGAAAAGAAAAAATGTGCTGAGACGTGCCTATATTGAGACGGCTGGTTATTCTTCTACACAATCAATTGAGTGCCGACGTTTTTGTACCCATGATAAAATACTCATGGTTTGCAAGTGGCTTGATGAAAGAAGACCCTTCACCATTTAAAACTGTCAATGAAGTCTGCTTTCCACAGTTACGAGTTTATGAAGAGTGTCAAGAAAAGACTGTAAGGAAGCTATTCTCATAAACTGTGCTCAATGTTCAAAGAAACTATGGTTTGAACACTTTTTTGTTAGTTATCATTTTCATTCAAACGACAGTTATTTCTGTAGGGTTCTCCATGATGTTTTAAATCTCTTGCTTATAAAAATAGTTCTGGAATCAGAAAATCAGTTGAAAATTACTCATTTAACCGTCTTTCTATTCATTTTTTTGATTTACAACTGTCGAAAACGGTGTTCATAGCGAAAAAGTTTTTGAACGAAAATATTTTCTAGGCCAAAATCGGTGCTTTAGGACGCTAAGGGTCCACAATATTTTGATATTCGGATTCAGCACCGTCGAGTACCTAGAAAACAGTCATTTTGTCGCACAAAACGCATAGGAACGAAAACTCGTTTTTCCGCTGCAGTTTTAAGTTTTGCATGTTTAAAACCCGCTTAAAACCTCTTTTAAAACCTAAAAAAATGGTTTTGCTTAGGTTTGGCGATGAGCTCTTTCATATGGCTGGATCAAATACATTTTTTGTTTCGAAAAGTTTTCCAGCTTGAAAACCGGGTCGTTGAAAAACCAGGTCTCTAAACTAAAATTGGGCCCAAACCAATGTGATATTCGGATTCAGCACACTCGATTACCTATTGTCCACTAAGCTTCAGGCCAAAAGCGTTTAAACAGTTGGGCTACTTCCCTCGTGAGAGTAAGCCTTTTATACTCTAAAAATGAGAGTAAGTGTCTTACTCAGAAAATACGAGTAAACGCTTTACCCTGTGGGATATTCTCCTAAGTCAAAGACTTAATTTTTGGAGTAAGAAAAGGAAGTGTACAGAATCGAAATCCTTTCTGTTGAATTCTCTTCATGTTTAATTCGAGATGCCATTTTCTAGTGTTCGATGTCTTCGCTTTGCAGTTTTATACAGTAGTTCAGGAGGTGACCGTCTTATCAAAGAAAATAGATAACAGAATTGAACCATTATCGCAAAATCGACTTTATACGCTGAACAGAATCGGTCCAAATTTTTTTTCTGAATAGCTTATTGAATGAATGTACGGGCAGCAAAGTATCTCTTTATTGAAATCACTTTTCGCCTTTTGCCAAAACGACGACACGCGGAGAGCCAAAGGTGGCTTTCAATATGACGTTGACTCTTCGTCAAGCTGAACACCATCAAGCAACAACCCGCTCCGTCGGCTCTGCTCTTCTCTCGTCTGATATTTTGCGTCACTTCGCTGACCTCAAAGCGCTTGCCAATTTTTGCCAGAATTCGAGAGCGTCTTGGAACAGAAACCAGTTAGCGTGTTTGTCCTCGTTTGTCGACAGCATGGCCAGCGATCTGGCTAAATCGCAAAATAATTATCGCTATTCTGATCAAGTGCAACAATTTCTTGTGTTCTTTTCATCTTGGGTGAACGACAAGTGTATGGATTCATTCGTTTGAACTTTTCTGGTAGACTTCCCTCTCCTTCGACACTCTCGGCTCTTCTGGAATTCCTGCGAGTCAATTTCAGTTGGACTCGATGCAACACCACTTCGAATGAACGAAAGTCTGCTAAGCTTTCGCTTTCGACGATTGCACCCGAATCATTTGGAAAGTGAGTTATGATTACCAGTCGAGGTTCCTCGTCGGTTGGTCACCACTTCAGAACAATGGCTTTCGTCGCACAGCGCCATTCAAAACTGAGTCATTTTATGATCCTGAACCTTTGTTCAGAACTGAAACACTTTTATGTATCTTGAATATTCAGAGTAACTATAAGTGATGCGCTTCGCTCAAATGTCGGTTAATCATAATAATTCGAATTCCATACCTGTTCATTTTCATGCTTATCCTAAGAAAAACGGCTGAAAAATACTTGAAACAATACGATGTTGTAGTGGTAGTGATTACAATCATCCGATGTCACTCTATTCTAACGTTTGAGTAGATGCGACGGTGAATACGTAAAAAAATAGGATTTTTATAACTGTTGAACATCCAAAAAGTAAAGAAACATAGTAAACATAGTCGTAGTTTTCATTCAGCTTAATGACAGACGCTTGAGCTTATATTTTTTTTCATTATTGAATTGTCGGCTCTGAAAATGTGGATGTGGTCGATAAATAAGCTAACTTTGACCACGGTTTCTCAAAACCCATGAATCGTTTTTTCGCGAAACTTAGTTCTAAATACATTTCAATTAGCACTACCCACAATAAACGTCTAGTAGCTCACAAATGAAAACTTCCTTTATTCCAAATATAGATTTTCTCCACGATTGTTTTTAATATATTTTCTTCATATGTCAAAAATGGGAATTTCGCATAATCATATAGTTTTGGTTTGTTAAGCCTTTTCAGATGGAGAATTGAATGAGATCATTGGTTAAAAGAAAATCGATGCCTTGTCACACGTTTGCATGATGTACTCATCGAATCGCTCTTGGTGTAAAATTCCTCGCTTAGATCATTAACCAGTTTCAGTTTTCTTTATACGAATTCTTTTTTCTAAACATGGAGTAACAGTTCACACTTGATCACTGTGAAAAAGGATAAAAAAAGGTAAAGAAAAATTAAAAACTTAATTCATTCATTGTCTCCAAAATAAACTGAGAATAGATTAACGTAGCATTTTCGATTTTTAGTTTTAAATTATGATAAAAACTATAATAGTATAAATTTTGTTTAGGCATGAAATAGGATGGTAAGTAGCCTTGTTTATCACATTCAATTAATTTTTCGTATAATATTCGCGCTAGACAGCAAGGTTTGTGCGTTACATTAAGACGAAGACATTCATCGATATAAGAGAGAAATATATTTTTCAAATGGTAACTGTGAATTGCATTTAATCCATTAAATTCAATTTCATCTTCTTCGAAAATATCGATTGTATTTTGAATTGTTTTAGAATCGATTGTATTAAGAGACGTAGTTGAATCATGCATAGTTTTTACTCGTTTGTAATGACTGATCTCAACTATTTCAGGCGGAACCAGTAAACGTAACTTACACGATAATGGTGATAAACGAAACGATTTAGCTAAACGATAGCCATTCTTCCAATTTTCATTTATTTGAGAGAAAATTGTTTGCTCAATATGTGAAAACGACAAACGCCATACCATTGCCTTCTGTTCATATTTTATTGTTTTAAGCGGTATAAACTCTTCAATCGGACGTTTACTTTCTTTTGGGATGATGTAGACACCTTGACTGGACATTAGGTTGTCTAGCAGAATACTAACATTCTTTGCTTGAGGTGGATATGCATGGAGAAAGACAGCTGGTGTTAAATCAATCGATATTGGTAAATATTTATAGACTTTCCCTCGCCATGTTAAACCATGAGTTGGTAAACCACTTAAAGGTAATGTATCATCGAATGCGTTTTCAAGTTCATGAGATAATGCTAATCCTGTTGATAGTCGAGGATCAGTGAAAACTGCTATATCGTACGATGCTCTAATAGCTAAACGTTTAAAACAGCGTAAAACATTCGACGAATTTAAATGTGATGTATCTGATTTAAATTCGTCAGAAATGTCCTGTAGGCATTCATCGAGCAATTTAGCTTTTACGAAACCCTGATTTTTATCATCATATTCTAAGAAGTCGATTAAATATTTGAATTTTGTTAATGAACACATAAAATCGAACTCATCAGGATAACCAACTTTAACATTTTCTTGGGTACTGCCTGCTGCTACAATCGTTGAATCGAATCTATCATCTAACTGACTTATTCGATTCAAAATGTTTCGAACATATTTTTCTACGGCTATAAATATTTCATTACATTCACCGTCCAGTAAATCAACATGACCAATACCGGGTGTCTCTAATATGGATCGAGTAACTTCATCGGCATTTCCGATAGTTTTTAATTGTTCTTTCATCGTGAAAGAATATTGTGCTATTTCAGAATTTATTGGTTGTAGGAACATATCTGTAGGAAAAATTCTTCGATCAATAAGTTCAGTTTCCACTTCATTAGTTGCCAAAAGTAGTGCTGCTTTTTTATTGCCCATAACCATAGCATGAGAAAAGGCGTTTTTTCCATCTCGATCACATAAACTCTTATCGGCGCCGGCTTCCAAAAGCCTAGTTATTGTTTCTAAATTTCCTTCACATGCAGCATAATGCAGTGGACATGCATTCCATTCATCCCTCACATTTAAATTCCCTTTCCTGCTAAAAAATATATTAATCATCTCAATGTAGAAGTTTGTTTTCTGCATTCATATTAGCGCCGGCTTGTTTGAGTAGTTTGACAATACAACTATTATCGATATTTGTGACAGACCAGTGTAATGCTGTTCGACCAGTATAATCAGTAATGTTTGGATCGGATCCATTAGTCAAAAGAATGGAAAAAAGTTTTTTAAATGGTTGATAATCATCGTCGTTTGTTTGTCGTTCATCATAAAATATTGGAAAATATTGACATGCCAAATGAAGTGGTGTGCGACCGAACATATTTCTGTTATTCAATGTTTGACATGCACCAGCATCGAAATACATCTGAATAACACAAGCCATTTGATCAATTGTGAATCCTACTTGAGACATTTTTATTAGTTCAGTCAATGGTGTATTTTGTAGATTATCTTGTTTGTTAATATCAGCACCACTGTCAATTAGAAGTCGAACAATTTCAATTTTATTGTCGATGTTCATTTTGTTCGCTGTGTTAAAGAGAGTAATCAGTGGTGTTTCGTTTTGTATATTGTCAATATTAACATCGGCTTTTTGTTTTAAAAGTAATTCAATTATTCGTAGGTCGATATTATCGACTTGTACAGCTTTGTGTAGCAATGTTTCACCAATAGCACTTATTCTCTTATTTGGATCGATGTTCAAATCAAAACAACAAAGTAAAGCATCATAGTTATTTTCATCGACACATGAAGATGAAATCAAATCGAGAAAATTAACATCGACTATTTCGGTTTCTAGTTGTTGTTTTCTGATAGCCTTTTGAACGAGGCGACGAACGTTCTTCGATAAGCCACGACGGTCTGCTGCATCGAAAAGTACTTTGATATCAACAGCAAATTTTGTTCTTGCATATACAGCGTTTTGGCAACGTGAGCAGATGATTCCCATTCGTTATACTTGCCCACTCTTTAAAGTAATACAATATATCTGAAACCAAAGGTTCTAAAACTCTTTCTCAATGGTATCTACACCGTTAGCCAGAAGATGCAATCAACTATGATAAGTGTAGTGTTGAGCTTAGCACTTCTAGCCAAGACTACAGCATTCCACTAACGAGTAAAATACTCTATATGTTTCATGTGGCTTTTTCCATAAAAGACATAAATATGTACGACCAATGACACTGATTACAAATATGCAAGTGAAAGCTGGGCTCAATACTTTGAGATCTGACTCTTGAAAATCTAAATGCAAAACGTGGAAAGATTAAACACAGTTTTCATTATCCTCATATGGTAGAGAACGTGGATTCAATTATGTGCATCAATTTGTTTGACTTTCGACAAGTTGAAAAGAACAGTTTTATTTTGAGTCATAGCTTTGTGATGAGTATAAGATGATCATCAAGAGCAGTGAAATGTGTAACTGGTTATAGAGTTTATAACTAAAGCACAGACTGATAGTACTCAGTATAAAAGCGAAGGCAGACTTCTAGAATAATGTGGTATAGCTCATTTTGTAGCCGGTGAAATTCTCTATCAAACAGTATAGATAGTTGAGGATTGCTCTAAGCGACAGAGATAAAATAATGAAAATACTCTGAATAAAGTTCATTTAACGAGAGAAAGGTTTTGTTGGCGAAAATTTTTCCACCAGGCACTGAAAATAATTTTTAAGATCTCAAAAGAGGTTAAGGTTAATCGCGGACACACAAAAACTATATCAGGTCGGTTGATATAAGATTGATCTATAAGAAGATCGATTTTTCTTCTTATCGAGTTCCGTCCTTTGGAATCAGTGTAAACGTTATTTGCACCTGCACTAGGCCACGCAAGGAAAAAGAATTATACAAGTGATCGATGCATAATTTTGGTAGGTAACCTTTCGGGACTTGTTCCAATGGGACACGACGATAAACCATACTTTATCGAGTGACAAAGGCCGGTCCAAGTTTGTCGCAATAAAATAGTCGCAATATATTTCTTCCAGCGTTCCACAAAACATTCAAAAACAACTTTTCTAGTTCTTGGATGATCGTGGCATAGGTTGAAAACGAACTTTCTCCTTAGAATAGAAATATTTTATTCACATTTATAACTGTAAAATTGACTATTTAGTTTGATAAATATGTGCATACTGTTTTTTATTATGGTGAGTCAAACACTTCTTCAAATAATATTCGTAACAGTTCAAATAAACGTAATATTAGTACAGCTTACCTTTCACTCTTTTCTTTTTTTCTCTTCCTTTTCTCTTGACTCAAGCTGGAACAACTTCTAATTGTTGACTGAAGTCACATGTAATTACAGAAACAGTGTTTTTTACTTAGTTTCAAAGATAAGTAGAGAAGAAAGGTTAGACTGTTGTACTTTCGTAACAATTAATTTCAAAGGAACTAATGAAGACGTGCTAGAACATAAGATAAACTAAAAAAAACATATTCGGAATAAATCTGAAACAGAGATACAAATTAAATTAGAAAGAATAGTGGAAAAGTGACTCCTACCCATGAAAAAAAGTTCATAAAGAAGAACGGTCAAGAACGCGTTCTTGAAAAACTGGAACGCATCCTAAAGACGCTTTTAGCGTTCTTTTGGAACTTGTTTTTCTCTTGAAAGAACGTGTTTTTTTTTCCAAAAAACAACGCGTTCCTCTCTACCAGGAAAGCGTTCAGAAAAAAATCGTTCTTAGACAACAAAAACGCGTTCCAAAAGAACGCTAAAAGCGTCTTTATGAAACGTTCTTTTCGAACGCGTTCTTGGTTGAGAAGAACGCGTTCCTGTTAACTGACAGAAAAAAAACTTTACTGCCGTGCCCTTCTAACTCTCTCTCAATTTGTCTCGTCCGTGAACGCGTTCTTCTCCTAGTTCTGTCTCCTTTCTCAAGTAACGCGTTCTTCGAGTAGTGGAACGCAGTCTCAGTCTCAAGGAACGCGTTCGGGAGCATTTTTAATTTGGGATGACCAACATAATTTTCTTCATCACCTTTTGGAACATCATAACCACACGAGCCCAGGTTCAACTTTTGTTTTCTCTAGTGAAACCGCTAAAGTTGAAAAGTGAAACCCATACATTTTACTAGCTTTAATCTGTGATGTTGACAGTTCTATATCTTAAAAACTAAAACGGATCTTTTTGTGGAAAATATATTAATGTATGGTACAATTTGTGTACTTCAGATTAGTATAGAAAGCGGAAACGGGTCTTCTCCAGTTATTTTAGTTTTAAGTCGACTTTGATTTTAGAAATTTCATTAATTTGGGATGACCAACATAATTTTCTTGATCACCTTTCGGAACATCATAGTCAGAGGATTCCAGCAAAATTTGGACGTCTCTTCATGCTGGCTCAACTGAATATTTGATGCAAATAGAATTTGTTCTCGTATTTGACTTTAAGAAAAATGTCGTTCTATAGGCATGTGTGTGATTCATTTACTTCGTTTTTCTTACTTTGGCACATAACATACATATTCAACTCCTTTTTTGTTCCTAGACTTAAAATAAGATAGGAACAAAGTCTATTTTCATCGAATATCTGTCGATTATATCGATAAGAAAGATAGTGTTTAGTGCGCTGATGAGAAATTTTAGTGTATGTTGATAATAACAATTACAAATTGATAAACAGTTATGTATAATTAATTACACGCTAAATTTATACAAGTTGTGTCTAAAATAATACCACTGTGTCATACACTTTTATTAGGACAACATAACAAATGAAGAAATTTTATATTTTCGTCGAAATATTCAGCCAGCTTATGCTTAGGAAAGATAATATCCAGTACGAGCTTCCTTAATATCCTGACAAAGTAAATAGAGTCACATAAAGAATGTCTGTTTCTAGTTTTTATCCTAATGGAAAGAATTTATTTCAAATTCTTCATCTAATCCTCAAGGTGGACGATAGTTACTTCGTTCGTGTATCAGAATATGGAGTAATCAGGTATTATCTTTCCAACTGTTCTGCTATTTGACTTTAAAAAGAGAGATGCCGTTTTTATTGTAACATATTTGATCATACTATTCTTAATTCTGATTCTTTTTTCTTATATAAGCCCAGGATATCCATAGAGAATGATTTTTCTCTTTAACGAACAAAGTTAGAAAAACATAAAATTATGGAAAAATATGTGCCCTAGCTGTGAATTTATTCTATATTCTGCCCACTTCTCGACTTAAAACTAAAATAACTGGAGAAGACCCGTTTCCGCTTTCTATACTAATCTGAAGTACACAAATTGTACCATACATTAATATATTTTCCACAAAAAGATCCGTTTTAGTTTTTAAGATATAGAACTGTCAACATCACAGATTAAAGCTAGTAAAATGTATGGGTTTCACTTTTCAACTTTAGCGGTTTCAGTAGAAAAAACAAAAGTTGAACCTGGGCTCGTGTGGTTATGATGTTCCGAAAGGTGATGAAGAAAATTATGTCGGTCATACCAAATTAATGAAATTTCTAAAATCAAAGTGAAATCCATACATTTTACTAGCTTTAATCTGTGATATTGTCAGCTCTATATCTTAAAAGCTAAAACGGATCTTTTTGTGGAAAATGTATGAATATATGGTACAGCTTGTGTACTTCAGATTAGTATAGAAAGTGGAAAAGGCTCTTCTCAAGTTATTGTAGTTTTAAGTCAAGAAGTGGGCAGAATATAGAATAAATTCACGCCCAGCATTGTTTTTCTTTTGAATATAGAATAAATTTCAATAAAAATATAAAATTTTGCCTTTGCTTATTTTGTTCATTAAAAAGAAATAACGTTCTATATACATATATACGAGCCATACTGAACCACGCAATCGATTATACTGATTCCGAATATACAAAAATGTCAAAGAAAAAACTAATTTTGATTTAATCTTATTTTGATATTTCATTTCTACTTTATTTCATTTTACATGATTTATTCACTAAATAAGTAAAGTTTGAACACACATTATCTCTGATTATCATGACCCGAAGAGAAAGTCGGAAAGTCATGGTAGTCAAAAAGAGTTTATCTAGTGCTGCATATAAAAGAAGTATGATTTGTTAAACATTAATCACCAATATTGAGAGCCACATATTTCAGACACTAAAATGGATCTTTTTCTAGAAAATACATCAGTACACTCTAAAAAAAAGTGCGACTTCTAGGAAGACACGGAAGTCGGTTCCCATTTAGTCGCATAATTGCGCCTATTCTAAAGACACATCATGCGACTACCTCTAGTAGTCACATACATCAGTCTACTTCTAAGTCTCATGGAAGACACTGAAGTCGGTTCCCATTTAGTCGCATAATTGCGCTTATTCTAAAGACACATCATGCGACTACCTCTAGTAGTCACATACATCAGTCTACTTCTAAGTCTCATGGAAGACACTGAAGTCGGTTCCCATTTAGCCGTATTTTAGCGACTCTTTGAAGTCGCTTTGATGTGTCTTCTGGAGAAGACACATTAAATTAAATTTTCTAAGGAGTTTTCTAGAGATCCGGTCTCTGGAAAACCCTTCAAAAAACTTTCTCAATATTTAAAAACGATGCCGCTGGAAAGAGCATTGTCGAAAACCTATCAGAAACATGTTTCCGGTCGCTCAGGTGACTTTATCTTGAAATTCAAATTTTCAGCACGAAATTGTTTGTGTGAATCTCAAAAACTAAGAAATTTCTAGAATTCAAAATCGAGCGACCGAAACTAGATGAGTTATACACCATTCGATGCAGTTTT